AGGCCTCTGGGATCATATGATTTATCTTCCTATACACTCAGATGCCCCTACTGCAAGGGTCCACTCTTCTATTGCATTTTTATTCTAGGATCACTTATTTTTTTTTAAGTATTGGCTGCATTTATGTAACTGCCTAATGACGCTGTCCAAATTCAACAACTTAAGTGGGGGCGGGGCACTGCTGCTTCAAGACTGATCATTCCAGTACCCAAAATGAGCAAAATACCATCCTATCATCAAAGGCACCCACACCTTTAATGTTTTGGTTTGGTGCAGGGTTGAACTCAAAGCTTAGTATCTATCTTCACCAAAGTGAGAGATAAAGCCTCAAATGAGAGATTAAAATACATCAGGAAGGAAATCTTAAATTAAAACAGGAAATATAAAGTATTTTTAGAAGAAGATACATAAAATGGTTTACAAAATTCTAGTGCCACCAGAGACAGTCAAAATACCAATGCACTGTAAAGGAAAAGTTTCTGAGTACACAGCTTGATCCAAAGAGGCAGTTTCCCATGACACTTACTGCAATATTTACTGTAACTACTGGGAATCAACAACAAATAGGATAATAGAGATCTTTTTTACTAAAAGAATGTTGCAGTAATGAGACTGTATTCTACATTTGTCCTTGAACTTTGAAAACAAAGGGGAAAAAAAACAATGGGAAAAATAGATATATTATCTATGTTGACTACTTGTATGTAAAAAGTACCGTATCTTCTTTCAACATCAACCTACACAATACCAAAGGAACAATACTGTATAGGATGCTTTGGAGGAATGTAGTTTTTAACTCTAAAGTGAACATAGCAAGCACTGGACTTGATAATCCTTATGAGTCTCTTCTACCTTAAGATACTCTATATGATTTTCATCCATAAAAAGGGAAAAAAGGGTACAAAAAGAAAAGCTTTGCAAGCATTTGGATATATGTTAGAAATACACCAATGAATTGTCTTTAGATGTTTTATGCTACATTTGACATTTTTTATTTTCTAATAAAACACATTCTCTGATAGTATTTACATTCTGACACAGTTTTCTTCAATTGTTATAGCTACTTATTTCATACACAGCATTTCTTTTAGTCATTTCATGGAACTACACTATTTGCCCTGTTCAAATCTCAGGTTATAAATTACAAAATGGTCTTCTGAAACCCAAAATGTACTTTTAAAAGAAAGGGGGAAGAGAAGAGAGATAAAATGACCAGACTTTTATTTCAAATCATCCTCTATACTCAAATTCCTCTTAAACAGCAAAACGAGGAAGTACAGGGCATCTCAGCTTTTTAACTATATTTTTGTTTTCAAAAGAATACAAAACATATGACTCATTAAAATTAAGATAATTTCTTAATTCCTTTAAAATGAAAACATTTAAAAGCTTCAAAATTAGTGGAAGAGAGTGATAGCTTGAAATATGGATTCTGAAAACAAATCAAAAAGCCCTTTTAATCTTTAGTTTCTGATTTGGGGAAGCAGAAGATGCTATGACCTTACCAAAATGAACAGACATTTTACAGAGATGCTTTGGACAAATTTGTCAGGTTTATTATGCCTCAGTCATCATAGCATCATCAAAACTAAGAGTAAATTAACACATAGTTGAAAAAATATACCAGAACAAGGGTGGATCTTCTGTAATAAAAAAAAAAAAAAATCCATCCAAATACACTTCTAGCCGATACCTCCTCATGAAGCAAGGAAATGGACTAGATTTAGGCTACAGTTCAACTGTTGCTTCCAGACAATTTGAATCCAAGCTGCTGTCAAGACAGCAGTTTGACACGTTGCTGGTCCTTTATTGCTAGCTATGACCACCTCTTTTTCTCCTGATGCTCATGCTCAGCTAAGTGGATTCTCCCCTGTTCCAGCTCACCACAGGCTGCCCAAGTCCAGCAGAACAGGACAACAACTAAAAAGAGACACTAACCTGAATGTCCTACTCTTTCTGACCTCCATTTTTCATAAGGACCCTAAAAACACTCTCATTAGATTCCCTCTCTCAGCAATCTAATGACTAATTCTTTATTTAGAGTGGAGGAGCTCGATCAGCAGACACAGAGAGAGGCTCATCACCTCAGCCATGAGTCACTGGGTACGTGGGAGTCCCAATCTTTAGACCTGGCTTCAAATCTGGCAGAACTAGAATTTAACTCTAGAAAGCTCAAAACATGAGTTGCTCACAGCAAGCCCATAAATATCTTCTTTTCTTATTCATTCTTACAACAAAAAAATTGGTAATTATTTTTTTTAAAAAACACACCAAATTTGTTACCCTCTTCTTGCCAGCAAGCATATTATGCATATAAGCTACCATATGCTTCTGGCTAGCCCTAAATAGCAGCAGAACAAATTCTGACAGGCAGCCAGTCAACTACACCAGCTAAACCATCCAGCAGAGATCAAACATTTCAGGTTTTCTCAGCAACTCTTTGACTTTCCAACCCAGTTCTTCAAAAAGAAATCTAGTAAAAAATGAGGCAATAGTGATTCAATTCTTCTGGAGCTAAAAAGCTCCTATGAATTTTAATGTCATTGTTTCCAGCTTACATTGGTCTTCACAAATACATACAAAAGACCAATTATTGATCTTACTAAAATCAACTGAGTTAATCATAATCTTGCAACTCAACAGGACTCGGTTTATTACTTACATAGAACAAGAGGACAAAAGTGCAACTGGCTATACAGGAAGTCCTGGTCACAATCTTAGATTTTGTGCACATGTATCTGAAGGAATATTCCCCTTCTAGCACATCGAGAGCGTTTCTGATCTAATACAGGAATAAAAAAGCACACAGAAATATTTTCAGTGCCCCAGGGGAAAAAAAATCACTCTTTTCACCAAATAATCTAGCAATCTGCACCACAGTGATCTCCTCAGGTGGAGTATCATACTGTTGCACAGGACAAACTATACCAAAGCACAATGCATCTTCTCTTTCCAGACACCCCATTTCACTCCTTCCCATCTAGATAGGTTTAATTCTGGGATAACATCCTAAGCAGCTTTGCCTTAATCATCTGCATTTTCCCAAGCAGCTTCTGCACTGGAAACAGTCAAAGATTCTTCAGAATCAGACAGAAATACTGGTCAGAAATTAGTAGTAACTATTGCAATGCCCAACACATTTTTTCTTCTTTACTACATTATTACATAGACCTAGGTCCTTCAAGAGCAATTGACAACCAAGTCTGGTGTCACTCTATTCCAGCATACAAGCCTAAGTTTTTTCATAAAGTCTGTTTTCAGGCCTCAATCCTATAATGAATAGCTGAGTTTCTGAGCAGTCATATAAACCAGCCTCCAAAACTGTATTTTTTTTATTCCATCCCCCTTAAGATCAGTGGCTGGAGCTAACATTTCCTGACATTCAACATCAAAACAAACTGTAACTATGGTGACAATATTATCAGTTTTCTTCCACAGATTTCTCCCCAGCTCAAGCCATAAAAATAAAACCAAAACCCCTTCTGTGATACAACTGTCAAGGCAGAACTTAATGTTGCCACCTGATACAGCAAGTATCACCATGTCCATAAGGACTGGAAAATAGCTTTGTACAGGCACAGCCCAAACAGAGTGTATGATCAGAGTCAGAGTGTATGATCATACATCAAGGTGTATTATTAGGCTGCAGATGTACCATGCAATTTGGATGTCTGATTAGGAACCACTGGTCCTATATAGTCCTACATGGATTTCCATCAACACCATAAATGCCTTCCCTTCTCTGCCACAGCAACAGGCATATTATTTCACAGCAGCATTTACAACACATAATGAAATAATCTTAAAAAAGCATATTTCTATTGTGAAGTAGATTTGTCCCTCTAAGATTTCTACCTAATTAGTAACAAGCATCGAGTATTTTCTTTTGTTCTCCTGTTTACATACACTGTAGCCTACTAAACACAATTATAAATGGTCACCTTTCCCTGGGACATTCAGAAAAATGCTATTACACAAAATTAATTTTTTTTCTGACTTGTTGACACTAAATACCACATAGCCTCTTTCTTTGGCCCATTTAAATGGATTTTTCCTGATTAATGAGGGAGTGCCACAAGAGCAAGAACATATTAATATTAAATAACTGATCCAAATAAGTGAAATCATATTCAACATATTAGGTTTTACCCTTTATCCTTTCTTGTAGTTGTATGCTCAGCCTATTTTTATCTATGAAAAGAGTCTTGCAAATAAGCACAATAATTCCAGAGAAACCAGCATGAAATTTAGTTATGGCATTGGAGATAAACTTTTTTCGTACTGCAACAGACCCTTATTACTTTAGAAAATGCTACTACTAAATTAAGTAATTTGTTTCTAAAATTACTTTGGTATAGGAAAATTTATTACACTGCACATATTCTTAATCCATTTTAACACCGTTCTATGCTAAGAAAAACACTAACAAAGTTGTATCATAGAAAGGCAGTGTAAAAAATTTCATTTCTGTACAAAAAAAACCAAACCCAGCCAAACAACACCTATTTCTGCTTTTATCAATAAAATACATCTGAGTAAGTAAGAAAATACGTCCCATTCTTTAAATGCTACGATGTATTTTAAGAGACTGTGATACAGAGCAAACAGATATGCTTTGTGCTTAACTAAACTTGAAATGATCTGCTTAAAACAATCTGTCCTGAACAGCATATATATCAAATGCAACAGCTCCCTGTCAAGGATTGCTTTGAAACCCTCTAGTTAATGCTTTAACAACTTACAGCATAGCAACACTTACAACATGGCTGCAGTAAATTGTCACCAATGAAAACTGTAAGACACAAGTAGGAATAAATATGATTAGAGCAATATGCTCTGAATGCTTTCCTCTCGTTTTTCCTTACAGTCTGCAGTTCACATCCTGATGCAAGCACTGGAAGATAATTAAAGTGGAAAGAGATTGCAGATACAGCTACTTACCTTGCAAGATGAAAACCTCTGTAAACAAATAGCACACTGCAATCTGTACTGTCACTCACCTCATAGGACCAAACGCACTGAGTTCCTCCAAACCTCCGGACACACCTGCCCACTTCCACATCCTCGTGAGTGGTGTACATCTCTCGAAGGCATTCACCTATATGTGGCACCATCCTCCGGAGAACCTCCCGGCTGAAGATCATTCCTGGCCCTCCCATACAGAAATTTTCTCCAGGCTCCAGCCCCAGTTTTCCGAGTTCTTCAATATTACCCAGACCAGTCTGCCCCAAATAGAGAGGTTTACTGCTGTTCAGTGAGCGAAGAAACTCCTCCAGTTTTTCACCTGGCAAAAATACAAGATTACTGTTATTTCTCTGACTATTCTGCCAGCCATCTCTTTCGCTGTACTCCAAGCTTTTAGAAAAATGTAACAGGTACCTGAGACTGTCAAGAGGAAATCCTAGACCTAGAGAAAACATCCTTGGACAAGCTAACAGGTTTTTTAAAATCAGTATTACAATGACATTTTCCTTCCAGCCACAAGCTGGAATATCGTCAAAACTTAATTTTTGACAGTGAACTTTTCTGTTCAAACAATACTGATGGAAAGCATTTGCTAGTATAAAAGTCCCTAAAGTTGGACAATTTAGACAATATAGTTCCAGGCTGGGGAGGAAAGGAAGTGGATGGGAAATAGGTAAGATTTAATAGGATTAATTTTTGAAAATACCAAAGCAAATCTAAATTAACTAAGAAAAACAGGTTTGATTATAGACTAATTCTTGGAAACAAAGAAAGACTCTTGTTAATTTCAAATAGTTCCAGTGCTACCGTGTTTATCATCACTTAGCTAGTTATTTTGGGAAACTTTAGTATCTATTTGAAATTAAGAGTTTCTTGATAGGTTTAATGTGGTACCATTAAGGCAGAATCTCAACGTAATCAATTAAAGATAGGTTCGGTACAACTTCGGAATGAGCTCAAAGAAAACACAACTTTATGCCTGCAACTGAATGCATATACATATATATGTGTGTACATCAGGTATTTGACAGGTGAATGACAGCAGATGAGCAGGCAGCCTGTTAAACGACTCAAAATTAAGCGACAAACAAGGAAGGGTACAGCCACCACCAATGAATTTACAACAGTGTAAGCAAGCAAACTCACAACCTTGCCTTATGCTTTTAACTTCAGCTTCCCATTCCTAAGCGCGGGACACGGAACAAACAATGCCACCCTCAAGAGCAGTTCAAAAGGAAGCAGGCTGCAGAACACCACGTCTTAAGGGTGCTATGAAACTCGCACGGGAGCTGCGGCTTCCCGGAGGCGCCCGCTGCACTGAACAGCATCTTTATTGGATGCGCTTGCCCAGCCCAGGGTGGAGGCAGCGGGAGCTGGTGGCGGTGACAGCAGCACCGCTCCCCGGGAGTCCCGCACCCGAGAGACTCCACTGGAGGGCCGGGGAGAGGCACGACCGCCAGACACCCCGCAGTCGGGTCGTGAGCCCTGCACCGCCCCGCAGTCCGCCGCGCCCGGTCGGACCGGACCCGCTCCGAGGGAACACAGCGGAGGCTCGTCCGCAGCATCGCCACGGAAGCGAGGGCGGGGACGGCAGCACCTGGACCACAAGCCCATCCAAGGGACCGCTCACCGTGCCCGGCGTGGTCCAAGCCGCAGTTTTAGCTCCGCGCCCCGGACACGCCGGGGTTCCCTCAGGGATGGGGAGGCTCCCCACACCCCGCACACTGGGGCTGGAAGCAAATGCCGGCGGGGTGGCGGCAGGTCGAGGCACCCCATGCTCTCCCCCGCCCCAGGCGAGAACCGAATCTCTCCCCGACCCACGGGGAGACTCCGACGGGCTCCCAGACAGCGCTGCCCTTCCTCCCTGCCTCCCGCCGGCGGGATGCGCCCCGGTCACCTTTTATGTAGACGTCGTCGTCCGCCCGCATGAACCACTCGTACTTGTCCAGGTAGTGGTCGTGCATGTACTTGATCATCATGAAGGACTTCTTTTGCGGTGGGTAAGAGTCGTCCACTCCTGGCAGGGCGACGACGGGCAGCGGGGGCATCCCGGGGGGCGCGGCGGAGCCCTGGCTGGAGAAGAACTCCACGCGGCCCGGCACCGAGGGCGCCCACGTCCGCTGCGCCGCCACCGCCCGGCTGCCCAGGTACTTCTGGGCCGTCATCACGCCCACGTAGAGAAAGTTGCGGGGCTTGGCGCAGCCCTGGGCGCCCCCCCAGTCCCCGCTCCCGTTGTGGCTGCCGCCAGGCCGGCCGCTCCGCTTCTCGCCGCCTTCGTCCTCCTCCTCCGGCTCCCCTTCCCCGCCGGCAGCGGGGCTGGAGACAGTGCCCTCCGCCGCAGCGGGCGGCAGCTCCCAGGGGCTGCTCCTGAAACTCGTGCCGCCCAGCACGGCCGCTGCCCCCGGCGGCGCCTGCTGCCCGCCCGCCGCCGCCGCGCCCCGGGCCGCCCCCGGCCCCGCCGCGCGGCCGTAGTAGGAGCAGAGGCTGGCGCCGCGCCGCTTCTTCTCGCCGAGCTCGGCCACTCTGGGGGCGATCAGCCAGGAGGCGGCGGTGAAACCCAGCACCAACCCCAGCACCACGCTCAGCCAGGGTCTCCGGGATCGCGCTGCCATGTCGCGGGCGGGGCGGCTCCCGGAGCAGAGGCGACCACCGTCCCGCGGCGGCCTCGGGCGCGGCGGCTCCTGCCCGCGGCTCCCGGCCCCGCCGCGGCGGCCCGGGCGGCTGCGCTGCTGCCGAGTCAAACTTCTGCGGGCGGGAGGGCGGCAGAGCGGCAGCGGCGGCGCCTCCGCTCCGCTGGCACCTCGTCCCCGCCGCGGCTGGTCCCTCCCGGTCCCTCCCTGCCCCTCCCACCGCTCGGCCTCTCCGCCCGGCCCCGCGCAGCGCCGCCGCCTTCCTCCGCGGCTGCCGAGCGCCTCACCCCGGAGGGCGCCGCCGGCTCCGAGCTGCGCCGGAGAAGTGGCGGCCGTCGCCGCCGCTCCGGAAGGAAACGATTTTTTTAGATGCCTCGGCACCCGAACCGGCCGCGCCGTCCGCCGGCGACCCTCCTGCCCGCGGAGGCCGGGGCCGGGGCCGCCCGCCGGGCAGTGCGGAAGGGTGGGCCGCGGTGGGGCTGCCCCCGGCAGCCTCGCTCGGCGCTGGAGCCTCCGGTGCGTCCCGGACCCGCTGTAGCAGCGGGCGAGGCCGGGGTCTCATCAGCACCATCCGAGCGCCACGGGGCGCTGGACGGGATCGTTCAGCCCGCTCGTCTCCTCCAGAGCGGTGGTTGTGAAAGGCAGGTCCGGGTGTCCTGTCCGGAGGAGAGATGGAGAGATGCCCTCTCCGCTGCCTCCGCTCTGGCCTCTGCCTTCTGCCCTCGACAGTTAGCAACTCCACAGCTAAAAGTGCTTTTCCTGTGGCGTGGATTCCCACGGCCCGAGTGTATCATTAGTGTTAGTAATTTGTATTGTTATTTGTATTGTTAATATTGATTTGGTTCTCATGAGCTCCAAGATCCTGGAGCATTGCTTCCTCATCTCCCTGACCTCTGGGTAACCTCCGCAGTCCAGGATAACTGACGGCAACAATATAACGTTAAGGACACTGTGCCTGCGGGGAGAGTTTAAATTCTGAAGTTTAAGGTTGCCTGCATATCGTCCATATTTATATGCATCCCTTACCTAATTGTGCAAGATGTCTATCTCCAACAAGAGCTATAAATTGCTCCTCATATCCATACATCTTTTCACTGAAATACATCAATACAACAGATCCAGTAGCATATATTTAATAGTTGTCAGCAAAACCATCCATTTTTGTGGCTAATCTATGGCGTTGTCTATCACTTCTTGTGATTTAATCAATTGTCGGACACATGTCGAAATGGGAGGAGGAGTGTGGAGGCTGGTGGTCTCTGATGTTAGCAAAAGTATGCGAATAGTGAGAGAAAAATGTCAAGCCTTTTTGGAAAATGATGCCGCTTTACCCACCTAACAAAGCAAGTCCACTCTGCACAGTCTTTAGCTGCGAAGAGGTCACTTACTGAAGTAATTTGCAGTTTTTCCATGTGACAGCGGATACATGCAGTGAGCAGGCTGCCTGCTCTTTGTGTTTCTGAGATGTGGAAGCACCAGGCTCAGGAAGCATACTCCTGTGGTTTTACCAGGACTGAATGTCCTTTCCAAACAGACCATGGTTAATTTCCTCCCCATGTGTACATGGGCTAGCAGGTTTGTAACACCAGTCAGTAAGGCACTAGGCATTCATTCCAGCTGTCAGCACTAAAAACATCAGCCCGGGTGTTGTGTCCTACTAACAGACAAGCTAAGTGAAAAGGATGTCCTCCAGAAAGGTTTTACAATGGCATTGGGAATTACCAGTGTTATGAGAGTCTCAGCTTTCTGTATGAACCTTGCACTCTAAAATACTATCTCACATCCCTTTCCCCCATCTCCTTGCAAACAGTTGGAGTCGCTGGGCCATGGGGAGTCATGTGCAGCACAACCTCCTTGGGACCTTCACAGCCCAATCATAATGGTGTCCTAAATTTTCAATCAACTTACTGCCCTCGGGTTGCAGTGGTACACTAAGCCACTTCCCTTGCTTATGCATATACTGAAATTACTCCAGTCAGGGTCAGCTGCAGCAGCTCCTCAGATCTGACAGATCTTATTTTTGTCACAAAAAGAACAGGTAAACCCATGAGAGATGATTATAAAGCCCTTTACACACTTCTGAGTTGAAAATGGACCCCAAGGTGTTGTGTTTATTTTTAAATTATCAAAATAATTAATAAATAAATTTAATATAAGGTGTGTATCTACCTGCATTTGTATTTTTAGTTCAATACTATTCCACTGTTTTGGAAAAAAGAGAAATCTGTTGAAGGTTTGTGGGATTTAATGGACACAGACGTAGACTGGACCACTTTTATAAGAGCAATGGTGGCATCTAGTGGTTAACAATAACAGTCCTGTACCTGTGTTCAGAATGCCTTTAAAAATCATGTAAAAGAGCATATAAAACACCATATCTATTCATAGCAGCCATAGGTGGAAAGCAATGACTGAATCTAGCTGTCCTTTAGGTGTACTGTTAGAAAGTTAAGAAAGAATAATGGCTGTGTATGCCATTTTCAAAACAACAACAACAAAAAAGCCTGAAAAATTAGTGGGAAGCGGATATGCTTGATGCAAGAAAGGGGAAATTTAAGACTGGAATTTAATAATTATTAAAAAGACTGAAGCTATTTCTGTCAGTAATCAGACAAATCTGAAAAATTTACAATAGGGTGGCAGTGTTCAAATCTGAAACAAAACCTTTTTCACTACTTTTTCACTTTCATTCTTTAAAGTATCACCACAAATCAGTGAATAACTTCCTTTTAGGTGTGTGAGATTAAAAACTAATTAGAGCATTTGGCTCTAAGTGATGGAAAATAATTTGCCCAGCCCACAAAAATAGCTCATATCAGAGCTAGCACAACCATGTGAAAAATATAAAAAAAATATCAATGGTATTTGTAGAGCAAACTTACAGGAACTCTAAGCTTGAGTTGGGCATTTGGTTTCATTATGGAGTTATGCAGACATCATTTAAAGAGCAGTAGTTGTAACTGCCAACTATCCTATAACATTTTTGTAGGCATATATTTATTCATTGATACACCTGGGTAATCGTATCTTAACAAAAAAATAGTCTTTAGTTTTTATTACAATGTTCCGAACTCTTCAGGGTTTATGGCTGAGCTTGGTATTTTTACATTGTGTTTGCATTATTGCAACATCTGGCTCTATAACCATTTGCATTCCTATGCACCGTTTTATTTTGGAAGGTTATTATATGTCCAATCTATTAACCCTCACAGACGGCCGACTGAGTATGTTAAAGCCTTTTCAACTGATTTTACTGGGCACTGGACACAGCCAGATCTCAGATGAATATACCCCTTTCTTTCAAGAGCGATCAGCTGCTTATGTCCTTACCATCTGTCTTAGTTTGAAGAACAGGTGCCTGCCATGGAAGGTGGGAACCTCCCTTGGAATGGAAAAAAAAAATAGACCCTTCCATCTGAATTACTATAACTTTGAAATTAAGGGGTCTTCAGGCAGATATGGGAAAAGAAATAACAGTTCTTTACTAGTTTACGTATGTGTAAAAACGGCAGCGACAACAAAAAGAACCAGAAGATCAAAGCACCTCTGAGGAAATTTGTTGACTTTTTTACCCCTTCTTGCTAGCCTGTCTGGCAGGAGGTGGGTTTTGGTGGGACCAGGGAAAGTGACATCCCAGTTGGCAGTGCCCTCCCTGTACCTGTGGAAACCTTTGATCAGTATACCCCACTATCTCTGTTTATACAAGGCAGGTGCAATTTATTTAAAGAATATCGGACATCCTGGGTTTTCAAACTGGAATTGGTAGGGTGGAGTTAGGGCTAAACGTCTCATACAAACTCTTTTCCTGTGAAGCAGCGCTTGGAAATTGATTCCCACCTGCCAGTGCCACAGGGAGGATCCCTCTGACGAGGGAGAGGCTCGGGCATCCCGACACAGGTAAAGAGAGCTGCTGGCTGCACCCTTCCCCCTCCTCCTCCTCTTCCTCCCAGCTACATCTTTTTTTTTCTCTTAAGTATCGGTCGTTATTGTTTCTTAGCAGCAGATGGGACAAAATTCCATGAGAGAAAGAAACAAAAAGAGAAACCCTAACCCCCAACACAGCCTTACCAGAATTTCCTTGCAGAGAAATTGCACCTAGTGCAGCAGGAGGCCAACTGCAATATCTTTCTCCTTCACTACTGTCCACAGAGCCAATTCTGATGCTCATATACTGAGTCCTGTTCCAGGCTGAGATCAGTGAAGTGCAACAGGTATTACTAAAACCAAAACTTTGTATTGTCTAGAATTATTTGCAGTTCTGAAAATCCATCAGTAATTAAAATTTTAGATTCAAGATGATTTCGCAACATCAACTATTACTAAACCCATCTTTTATTACTGTAAAACAAACAAACTACACGATCTGCAATTCAATTAAAGTGTGGAGCTTCTTACTCAAATTTAGATAAAACAAAATTTAAGTACTATGATAGACTATGCTGGGAAATCCATACTTCTGAAAATCCATTTAGATTTAATGTTTTCTCCATTATTTATGAAGAAATATTATTACACAAAAGTTTACAGGGGAATTTATATGTAAATTTGTTTAACCTGCTTTATTTTAAACTCTATTTCAAACTCTTTATCTTGTCTGTACTTTGTAGTTGTTTTCCCTCTCTTTTTAAAAGAGAAATAAGTGAGACAAAATCACTGTCTTTTACAAATAGAAGACCTCCATACATAGCTCCCACCCCTACTTGGGATACACTAAAAGATTCTAAGTGGTTGACAGCAGTGTTTACTCTCTTCCTTCTCAGGTACCCCTATAGCCATGGACTAGAATGGTAGACATAGTCTCAAGTGGTTTAAACAGATTTGTCTTAACACTTTTGTCACACATTATTGCCTACTACTCTAACGAGAGATGAAAGAATTAAAAGAAAATGAGCAAAGTTGTCATTTGAAGGAAAGTCAGCAAAGTGTTGTGTTTCCAACACTTAGGATGGACAGAAATCCACTGTACCTCGATCATGGTAAAGAGGTGGCTACAGCTGTAAGGAACACAACAGAAAATTTCTCTTTTAAAGACCTCAGCAAACACATTCTCCATGCACTCTGAGAGCAGCCTCTA